TCAAGGTTTCCGACGAGGGAGTCGGAGGGAAGGGCTTCACCGTGTCGAACACGCTCCAGGGGATCTTCTTGCCGCCGCCGCCGCTTCTCATATTATTTGTGGGGGAGAAATTAGGGTTTTCGATTTGGGGGCAAACTTCGCGTCGATGGGATTTGACTCCGCGTGCTTATTTGCCCATGTTGCCCCCCCAAAACTACACTATTTGCATAAACAATGTTTTAGAAAGTGTTAGGCTCTTTGACACGTAGGTAATTTTTTTTTTTTTTTCGAACTTAGAGGTGTGAGATTTGTAGTCATAGCGGCAAAGAGGCAAAATTTGTGGGCGTGGCAAATAGGGCGGAAATATCTTTGATTATCCAAACTCTATCTTGACCCATTTTAATCTGAGATGGATTTGAATATCGGGTTCTGGTCAGATATATTTTGATCCGACCAGGTTCTCCTCATTGGTTACTGTGCTTAAAGGCCTGTTTGGTTCAATAGAGGCTAGGAATAGGATTAGGAATCCTATTTTATTTATGGATTCCAACCTAATCCGTTTAAAATTTATAGACAAGTTTTAGTTTTATGGAATCCTTTTTTTTTTTTTGCATTCTATGTTTGTTTCACCCAAAGGAAAAAAGAATCTCACTTTTATAGAAACCCTCCAATTCCTAATACCATGTTTGGTCCAAAATAAAATTTTTTTAGGGATCAACACTATAGCAACGGCGAGCTCACTGATCATCACAAAATCACTGTAGCAACGGCTATTTCCACAAACCCCAAAATTCAAAGACATAACACTGTAGCAACGGCTTGTTTCAAGGTCATTGTGGCTATAAATTCAACTTGAGGCCTCAAATTAATCAATGCATTCTCATTTCGCAGCAATTTATAAATTCTCATTGTCTGCAATTTGCATCCCATACGTCAATATGATATCAGAAGAGTGCTCCCAAAATTATGAAGTTTATTGCGACTGCAATCTCCGAACACCGATGAAAGTGTGCAAGAATGGAAAAAATAAGGGAATGTGTTATTAGGTGTGTGCAAAATTTCCAAATAAAGAATGCAATTTTTTCGAATGGGCTGATGAAAGAGGAGACATAAGCAACCAAGGAAGCCAATATGTCAAAGAAAATAGGTACGGAGATAAATATATTTTGCAATCAAAGAGGCTGAAGAAAGAATTGAGACTTGTCGAAAATCAACTACTAGCTTGAAAATTTTCAGAAATTTTATTAGCAATTTTTTGTATTATTTTAATTATTATAAACTGTATGTCATGTGCTTGTACTTGCAAAAACTATTGGTGTTGTAATGAAAACTATTTTTGGAATTGAGTATAAATTCTAATTGATATTGTATGGCTCAGTAATAGATCAACTTGTCAAAATTGATTGCCCCACATATAACTTACATGTTTATTACAGATTGCATTCTAAGGATGGATTGCCTCACCTAGACATTGTCAATTCAATGTAGGCTGCAATCTCATCACCTTTTGTCTCATCTGAATATAATAAACAATGTAAGTTAGATTGCATTCTCAGTAAACGCTAATCATCATCATTACCAAATATCAACTGCAAGGAGCTACACAAGCTCAAAACAAAACAGCAACAAACCTACAGGCAAGGAAAAACACAAGCTCCCACATAGCAACGGCTAGCTACACAAGTTCAAAAACAAAACAGCAACAAACCCAAATGCAAGAAGCTACACAAGCTCCAAATACCAGCAACAAACCCCACAACGTCATGAGCTACACAAGCTCAAAACAATACAACACATTCCCAAAGGCAAGGAGATACACAAGCTCAAAACAAAATCTCATATAATCCAAAGGCAATGAGCTACACAAGCTCAAAACAAAACAGCAACAAACCCAAAGAGATTGAGGAGCTACACAAGCTTCAAATAACAGCCAAAAACCCAAAGGCAAGGAACTACACAAGCTCCAAATAAAACAGCAACAAATCCAAGAGCAAGGAGCTACACAAGCTCAAAACAAAACCTCGTATAACCCAAAGGCAAGGAGCTACACAAGCTCAAAAAAAAACAGCAACAAACCCAAGATCTTGGAGCTACACAAGCTCCAAATAACAGCCACAAACCCAAAGAGCAAGGAGCTACACAAGCTCCAAATAATAGCCAATAACCCACAGCAACCACGTGTGACTTTGGAGCAATAAACCCAAAGTCATAACCAGCAGGAGGTCCACTACATTGAGCTTCAAAATCGACAGCAGTTAACCCAAGCAACAGAGCATCATAGCCATTGGAACTGAGCAACACATGCTGAAAACCAACAACATTAAACCCAGACAACAGGGCAACATAGCCAAAGAAACTGAGCAACAGAATGTAAAAGCCGACATCAGTAAACCCAAGCAACAAACTCATTTACCTGATATCAAAAGCAAAGGCAAAATTCAAAGAACTCATTGATCATTCCATGACCATACTTACCTGCATCAAAAGTTAAAATGTACCAATTCATCAATTACATCACGGCATAGATGTTCTTCATAATAATAATATATATTGTAACATTAATAGTTTTCAATTAACACAACAATATCCATCAAAATATAATCGAAACCCAACAAACTAGCTATCCGACCAACCTTGGTCGTTAACTAATTTGGTGATGTACCTCTGCTGACCTTCCTTGGTTTTTATGAAAAACCTTCTAGCTTCACGTTCATTATCATATAAGTGGTCTAAAACCCTATCGAGGAACTCCTCAGAATATTCAGACCTATGTTCCTTCAACGCTGCAGCCAACTGCTCAGTCCAATGAATAATGTGTTGATTTCTCATTGACTGAGACATTGACTCAACAAAGACACATAGCATTTCCTCTTCACGATTAGATTTTTTTTCTTCATCTTCCATATCCATCTACATCCGTTTTAAAATTAGCATACATTTACAACTTATCTTGTCTACTTATTTCAGTTTAAAATTAATTAGATAATTGATACAAATATTTATTTCTTGTAAGGCAAGAAATCTAATTATACTGAATTTTATTTTAACTAGTGTTGCATTCGATTTCACACAATTATCAATAACAACACATTCTACTACCTGGTTCCTTTTATGTAATGAATTTAACCCTATTCTTTGGTAAACATAACCCTATTCTTTTTCATGCATTCATATTCTTTTGTAATAAACACAATTATCAAGAACAACACATTCACACAAATATCATGCATTCTATTTCACACAACTAACTGAAATTTAGTAAACATAACCCTATTATTTGTTAAATTTCCCAAATAATAAATTATCACGAACAAAAGAGAGGGGGAAAATCGTATACCTTGAGCTGCAGAAGGGAAAAAATGTCGACGTCCAAGCAACAAATCCACCAAAGTCGGGATCAACACCGTAGCCAACAAACCCACCCGAACCAGAACAAGTTCGAGAAGGGATCACCAACAACCAAATCCAAGGAACCCACTAACAAGAAGTTGGAAAATAAATTAAAGAAATCACGGCTCAACAAGAGGCGGGATCAGATTAGAGGGAGAATCTGATTCGACATATAAATCTGCAAAAAAAATCATGGCTCAACCAGATCTAGGGTTTCGAGTTCCAACCACGACCACGCACAAGCCACGACGAGCGGTGAGAGAAGAGAAGCAAAGAAGAGACGTGAAGAAGAGAGCACTGAGGCGGGAGAAGAACAACGGGGAAACCACGGATCAACAGATCTAGGGTTTCGTAGATTAGGAATCGGAATAAGAAAGAGGAGAGGTGTTAGAAATTTGGTCCAATTCCTCTCAAATGGACTGGAATTGGGAATCCTGAAATATACATTGTTTGAGCCACTTTATAGATTACCTATTCCATAATTTTTTTTTGAACCAAACTCAGGATTAGGATTCATTTGGAATCCATTAATTACGAAAATGCTACTGTCAGGTCCAAATATCATTCATATTCCATAAAATTGGTGAAACAAACAGGCCCTAAGCGAGGAACATGTTACTTTCTAGTGCAACCCGCTAAAGTAGCCCACGATTGCCTAGGTGTCTTGAGTACTACATAGGCTTAAGTGACTAC